CAGGTAGTGCCAGTATATCAGCATTTTCGTGAACATTCAAAAAGGCTTAAATGGTCAAAATGCAGTTCTACTGCAATGCAAATGTCCATGGTAATATGGTGGCCCGTCTGTGTGTCTGCATATACGAAGTCAGTCATTGTATCATATTTTAGAGTGAGTTTTGGAGGGGTTTGCCAAAACTCGTAGGTACTGGTTCCTCAGAGCTGGCTCACTCATCGTGCCACCTCTGGTGGTGTCGCAGTGCTCATCAGGCTTAGCAGGTGAGCGTGAGAAATGGACAAACAGTACTGCAATTAAACTGACACTCAAAAGGAAGGCCTATGAAACGAAACACGCACCCAAATCATGAACTCCTAACAAGACTAAAACCATCGCAGCCAGGATTTGCACAGAAAGCAAAATAATGTTTAAGGTAAATTTGTTGTGCTAAGGCTTCCCCAAATTTAATTTCCTAAGTCAACATTAGAGTCAAAATATTGCTTAAATTCACTTAACATAAAATAACAATGCAATGGAGCATTAAAGTGTGGAGGCATCTTTGGCCGCCTCCAACGCTTAATGGAGGCTGGAAGGACAGCTATTCTTGGAGTAGGAGGAAACGGTCTTTCTCCTCAAACGTGAGGTTCGACTTGTATTTTTATCTCTCGCTTCAATGGTACATTTTACAACGTCTAAGCATTACAGAGACATTTTACTTAAAGTAACTGATGTATATTTTGTAACCGACAAACAATGCGTCCACGCGCACTTTGTTTTTCACCATCAGCTGAAAGATTTGCCACGTTATCGAGCTGACGGCAAAACCCCACTACAGCTTTAGAGCAGCGATTTACTTCTGGCAGGCCTCTTGGAACTCCGAATGCTTCCTCGATAAGCTGTAAGGTATAACAGCTTAAGCGAAACGCTACTCGGAGAGAAAGAGGATTAAAAATTAAAGACCATGCGATGCCTTGCTACGAAACATAGAGTTTGTAGAGTTTTCCTCGAAAAATCATGACATGCTTCACTCAAAACGCTTTGATGGCTAAGATTACAAATATCAATCCATTTGAAGGCAGCGCTTCACTGCCACAGGTCTGAGCGAGCGCTGCCATCCCGCAGTGCTCGACACAAAGATCACATCAATTTTGCCTTACACCAATTCAGCACTTGAGTCTGCTATTTTGATGCGCCTCTCGAAGGGTTGAAGTTCAAGAAACCACTTTGACCACAACTTGACTTGATAATGGTTAAAGTGGGATGTTTAATGAAGTGAAAATGCCAAACCTTCCATCATGTGTTAATATGACACCTACCATTATCGTGCAACTCAATCCTCGGGACACAAGGAGACTGGGCACTGACGTATGCTTTTGATAGTACTAACTTTACTCTCAGAATCGAAAAGGGAAATGCCGTGCCGAATTTCGATGATTTCACTAGTTAATGGGCCGTGCTCCTTTTCCCCGCCTGCTGCTGTGGCTAGGACTCATGCGGTGGTGATTTCTTTGTTGACGTGAGATGGTCATGATGTACTAACCTAAGACGCGTAGTACTCGGTGTTCAGAAATAATAGCATTTTTGGAAATGGGAGTAACAAACTCCGTTTTATTCGCCTAAAGATTTCTTGTGTTATGAATCAGCATATGCTCATTTATCAAAAGACAGCTTCCCAGCCTATTGTAAGGGCGAAATTGCAAGATTTAGAAAATGTGTTAAAAAATATCGTCAGGCGTCAACATACATTCTCTCCAAGCGTTGTGCCTTCTTTTTCTGCACGAATGTCTCCGTAAAATCCAAAGTTATCTTTCGGAAAGCAAGATTAGTCCTGGTCAAACCAAAAAAGATCGTAAATTCGCAATACTTTTATATTTTACGTTCTGATTTTGCGATAGTCTTATATCCTCACATCTACATCTGGTTGACTCCAATGGTCTCTCCAAACCTAACAAACTCAGTGCACTAGTCAACTTACAAACCCTAATCACCAAATTGCATGCGGAATGGCACCTCAGCAGCGATAAATACGACAATATTACACCGGAACTTACTAGAACACATCCAAGCACCAAATTTCGTGCAACTTTGTACTCTCCTTTCCTGTCGATTCTGTTATCAACGTACCATCTTAACAAGACAATGTTATTAGCATGGCCAGATATCGAGTCCAGTGTCGCTTGCAAATACTTGCTTGTTTTGATCCTCAGTTGTGTGTCATTTGTCAAGCCTCTAGATTGTGTAAAACAAATGTAAAAAGGTTGGTGAGTTGCTTTTCACTTAGACCTCGGATGTGTTTTAAAGAAGCACTGCTAGATCCATATTAACACTGAGATACGCCATTTCACCACACTAATGTATTGTAGCTTATTTCCCATCACTTCAAAATCGTTACGCACCTAACTAACCATGGAATTCATCGCTGCTTAAAGAGAATCACTTCAATTTCCTGTGGTTGAAAAGGGCAAATGCTTACATCTTTTCCAACTTCATGCAGGAGAAATACTAGCTGGCGTCGCGCGTACAGGGGCTCACAGCAGCTGTAGACTCAGGAATGACCTGGTCAAAATTCGCGGCGATGGCAGTGAACCGGGTGACAGGCTTACTTCCTGAAACCCCTCATATTAGTCTTCTCAAGGCTTGCAAAGGCGTGAACGGTCATGCTGTGGCCAATGTTTTAGACGTGGGTTGAATTTTTTACAGAAAAACACTACTAATGACATAAAAAACAAAATTAACAGCACCAGAAATGCAAAATCTTTAACAATTATAAAAAGTAGGGGATATTTTACTCCACAGCTTTTGATAACCTGAATCGGAACTTGACTTTAGAACTTCAAGACATGTCCCAAGTAAAGCTTAGAATTTAAAAAGAGATGCTACCAAATACTGGCTTTTTTGATGGCCTTCTAACCCAAAAGCGTCCCATCCAAACGGATAGTACTTGGCCAGGCCTCTCAAAATCTCCATTTTCTTATTAAACTCATGTGTATTTAGTTTTCCTCCAAATGTAAAGGAACGATTTCTCCTTCAAAATGTTTGCAAATGGATGAGCTAACTAGATCTGGATTCCTCGAGTGGACTTTGTAGAATTTCAAATATAGTGCATTTTTATCAAGCGCTTAAATCTCCTAAACCACACAATTGTCAGAACTTTCACAAACAGGTCAAGATTAGTTTTATGAATTAATCATAATAACCTCAAAGGGCGTAAATTCCACGGCACGTTTGCTGTAATTTTGAAGCCTTGCATTCAAATGTACGTAGTCCATGAATCCTCCGAGCAAAATGACTCAAATGTGTACTGAACTATTTAGAGTTCCATGTGGCCCACCACGGCACTTCAACTCGTCGGCATCGTTCTGCCCATGAGCGACTAGACCTTGAAGTCAGTGAGAATGCTTTACTTACAAAATAACTTTCTAAGATTTGTGCCTGCGGTGGGAAATTTAGTTTGCCATTTACTCTTTAAGTTGACAAAATTGAGGTATTTACACTAGAGAGTTGCACTTCGAATGGAGCTGTCGCAGATGTTGTGGGTGATTTTCCGAGTGACTCAGTACCTGCTAAGTAGAATGCCAAAAACAGGAAAGTTCAAGGGCCTGTTTAAATCCCGGATGAATAGCAAGTCGATTTAAACTTAAAAACTGCTCAGTGGAGAGCAAGTAGCAATATATCCACAGTAGGAAACGTCGACGAACAGGTGTGCTTTTGAAACGCTTATAGTGGGAATGCATCCCCACTGTTTGTGGACGTTAAATAGAAAACTTTTTAGAATGAATTCACATTAACGTAGAATAAAGTTGGAATATAATTTGGAGGAAAATTATTCTTATAAGACCCATGACATCTTACCCAATGTGTTTACCAACACAGAAACACAATAGAGTTAGTTAGTTGTAGTGACATTTAGAGGGCAAAATGTAAAACGTGAGGCTTGGTTTCGACATGTTCTACATTTTGCGGTTTTCGTTTGTAGAAAACTCAAGAATGTGAATTGGTTTTATAGCTGTAGATTTTGTTAAATCCTGTCCTCCAATCCTACTAATTTCCCATGTAGTTTTCGCTTTAAATAAACTGCTGCAACATTTGTTAGAATTTCACAGAGCACGATTTCGCCAATTTCGATTTTGATGAGAACCAGCACTCTTATGCATCATTGCATAGTTACGAAAGGCAAGTTGAATTGCTTTCAATGCAGCAACTATGGTTCTTCAACTTATTCAGTAATGAAGTCCTCTAAGATCAATTTAGTGGAGTATGTTCAGCTGGCCTACATAAAATAGAACGTAAATATTCGTCGTCGCCTTAAAGCATTTGCTGAAAATCGCATTATAGTACATACATTCAGAATTAGCCAATGTTGTAGTGCCCCATATTCCACATTACGCATGCCACCTCCTGCCCTACCGAACTTTTCCATAGCGTAAACTAAACAGCATAGTTCTTTGTTCTGAAGGGTTCAATGTCAAAGATGTTTTTCACATTTTACAATTTAATCTATCGCCTTTTGATAGGACGTTAAACAGATTATCTTCTAGACAAAATGTTACGATTAGTAGGAATGAAGTGGTCAATGGACGTATTGGAGTGCAAATTTATGCACCAACTACGTTCAGCGTGTTGCTTTCTCAACCAATTAAGGGTTTGGAGATGTTATTGAACTAATCGCAGCTTCGCGTGAAATTGCACGCACGCAACGGTTCTATCGATCACGCGTCACATCGCTTCGACTATTGGCGGAAGCGAATTCGGGAAATTCAATCTACACTCTGATTGGCTCCCTTACGACCGTGGAATGTAGTACATAGAGATTTCACATGAAATCTGCATCGCATTTGTGGGTAGAACGTTGAACGTGCTTATTAGCGGTTTGATTATATACCAAAGTTGGCAATACGATGGTTTGTTGAAAGTTTAGTAACGTTACTTTGAATTTAGGCTGATTTATCCAAGGCTGAGATTGAAGGTAAGCATCTAGCATGCACGCCTAGGGCTCAAATGGTTGGATTGCTCCACAGAAATTAATAAATGAGTACCTACAGATATTAAGGAGGTCTTCGACCTTTTCGATTTCTGGGACGGTCGCGATGGAATGATCGATGCCGTCAAGGTGCCCGATCTTCTCCGCTGTGCTGGAATGAATCCAACCATCAAGGTTTCTCTCAAGCATGGCGCAACCAAGAAAGCTGGTATGCCTTGCCTTGAGCAATAGCAGTATTTCAAAGGGAAAATGCGCTCAGGTGTTTTCCTTACCTCTAGGTGAAAAGCAATACAAATTTGATGAGTTCCTACCAGTATACCAAGCCATCATTAAGGAGAAAGAGGGTGGCACTTTCGCAGACTATATGGAGGCCTTCAAAACTTTTGATCGTGAAGGGCAGGGAGTTGTGAGTGCCGCTGAATTGGGACACGTTCTCTCGGGTTATGGTGAGTTGCTGCTGACTGGAGTCATTTCGATAGGAGTATTACGTCGAATTGTCGAATGATGGATTACCTCTTTAGGTGAGCGACTCTCCGATGAAGAGATTGATGAGATTATCAGACTCACCAAGCTACACGTCGATTTGGATGGCAACGTAAAATATGAAGGTTGGTTGCTCAAATATCCTCCATGGAACACTGTATTTAAAAGAGTTTCCATTTTTTAAGGAATATTTGTATGAAAATTTCTGAAGTAATTAATAAAATTGCTTTTTATTTCTTGTTTTGCACCTCTTTATCAGCTGTCAAAACCACATGCGTTTGTCCAAACTGTTTTTTATCTGGCCGAATGCAGAAGGCACTGCTTAACAAAGTCTCTCCAGCTGTTTACTACTCGCTGTTTTAACGACTATTTTCATACTATGCATTATATTTGTGTTTGATTTTTTTTGTGCTTCAGAATTCATCAAGGGAGTCCTTGAAGGTCAGCCCAAGTAAAAGGGCGATACCTCTTGCTAGACTACGCAGCTGTGCACCATATCCAAATGTATAATTTATTACAGAAAATGCAAACTGACGCAGGCATTCACTTTCCTCTGTTTTTCTTTTCGCGTGGACTTGCTTCGACCTCACTCGCAACCCCTTCACATCTCTTCCTTGCGTCCTATCTGCTCCGGTAGGGCTTCTTCATTCTTTTCAGTCGTTTTGACATTCATTTCGAGCAAACTGAGTCATCATGAGATTCTGCTGACACGAATTTTGCACATTTAAAAATACATCCTTAAAAAATTTCTTGCTTTTATCGATTGTCCTTACGAGTGTGAGACCAAAAGGGACATCGTTTACTTCACCTCCTGGCGAATGTTCGTCAAAGGAGGTGCTGGGAAAGTTGAAAGCTTTCATGTTCCTCGATTTCCCTTCTCATACGATCAGTAGTGAAGATCATGCCTTTTTTGTTGTCGAAAATATTATAAGGCGAGGCTAAGGTTTTTTTTTAAATAATAAGTATACAGGAGATTTAAAACACTGATGTCTCAAAAGCTAGTCCCATTGGAAATGATGTAAGTGTGTACATTCGCCCCGTTGTTATTCGGTTCGTCCATTTCACCAGTGCGCTTGGTGCATTAGTAGTTCCCAGTTAAAGCATTCATGGCTTTATATCCTAATCGAAAGCCCAGCTCCAACCCTTGACAAGTGAGGAGATAAGCTTTAGTCTAGAGCACTCCACCAAACAGACAAGTGGAAGGCGATCGGTATGTCATTGCTATGCAGAGGACTACTTCCTCTTGAGGCCAAATTGCCTGCGTAGTTACGGTGAACCGTAGCAAGAGGTGTTGGGCAAAGGTGAGCCCAAATAAGGCATAAAATGACAAAAAAACAGTGGCGGAAATGATT